TCCTTTCGTTTTCTCAATTTAGTCAATAGTGCATAGACTCGTCCTTGAATCCCATGATTGTCTAATTCTTTCCTAACGACTTCTGCGGTCTGTGATATAGTCTGAAAAGCATTGGGCATCTCAAAAGCCTGACTTTTTTCTGATAACGTCTCAGCAGCTCTCTTAGCAGATTTTGAAATTTCCTTACCCAATTGTCCAGCTTTTTCACCCAGCTCCGTTTTTCCTGCCTCGTCGATGACTCCCTGTTCCTTCTTCTTCAATCCCTCCAGCTTTCCTTTTAATACTCTGAGCTCTTCGATGCCTCAGATTCCACTGACTGGAATTTTTGACGACATGTTTCAAAGCCTCCGACTGCTGATTATTTGTGTTTCAACGAATTAACAGTTATTAAAAATATCTTCACAAATTTGTCAGTGATGTTTACTTGATTTACTTCAATAATAATTTAATATCGTACTTACTGTTTTGGGCGGTGATATAAAATACGACGTAAATTTAAGGCCCGGATGGATTATCTGGAAAATATAATTTACTCCGAAATTTGGACTGCTAGTTACTCCGGAAATTAATCGTTTTTTCCAATAATTGTTAGCTAGCACCGTAGCGGTTGTCAACAACTATAGCGCTAGCTAACAATTATCGGAAAAATCGATTAATTGGTGGAGTAATTAGAAGTGGCAATTTTGGAGTAAATCATCTTTTCCAGACAATCCAACCGGGCTTTAATTCCAGTTTCAAAATGTGGCACTCCAGCGTAGTCAATCACTTGTTTATACACGCACTCGCGATTTATATGATGGAGCCATATCTACTGGCATCTCGACATCATCTGATCGAGAGATAAAATCATCTCGAAAATTCAAAAACCCGAACCGACCACGAAAAAATCCACGGAACGGATACGATATATCCGGCGGCGCTAGTTAATAAATAAATTCCACTCACCGGCGTTGGATGAAAATAAGTCCGCTTTCAATTTTCACCTTTCGAACGTCTTACCTTAACTGTAAACATAAAAAAAAAACAAATTGTTAATGAAATTTCGACAAAATAATTTTTTTACTGCAAAGGCGATTTTGAATTTTGATTTGAGAGTTTTTATTTAAAATTATTATTTAAAATTGTTTATTATTTTTTATTTAAAATTTTTTTATTTTATTGGAGAGTTAATTGAATAATTGAAAATTGTTTGTAATGTAAGCATTGAATATATCAAGAATCAGGAATGAAAAAAATGACATGAAAATAAAATGAAAATGATGCTTCAAGGTCATAAAAAAAATGCATACGAAACTCACCTTGCAGTCGGTTGCAAGATGCCCTCCAATCCTGAAGATCTCTCCATGTGATTCTGACACCAAAGGTTGAAGCTCACGGCTTGGCAGCAACCAGCATTTTCAAAGACAGCAGACAGTTCAAAAGTTCACTAATCACTCACCACACAACCAAGAATGTTTTATCAACTCAAAATCCACAAAGATCAATAAAATAATATGAAAGATCAAATAATATTTTTAATCATTCATAATAAGATGAATGAAAAAAGTAATCCTTCGAATCTAATTCGCACTGTCACTTTAGTCCGTATCTAAACACACACTAAACAATTCACAAAATCACTTGCACTGAGTCCCGCACTTTGTATTTTCACTGTTCACACGCGGCGCCGGTTTTTTGCGCTCACTACGACACCGATGTTAACGGATTTTAAGTACGCGACGCGCGACCGTCCGACTCCGCGCGCGGTCACGGAACGACTGACTCCCCACTGAAAATGGCAGGGCGTTGGAGACGGCGCTCGAGTCGAGTGGGGGGTCCCCCTCCGATACTCCGCGCATGCGCACAGAGCACCCTGCATGCGCACAGAACACCTTACATGCGCACAGAAGACCGCTCGAGTGGGGGCTCGCCAGGCGATATTCCGTGCATTCGCACGCGAACCGTCCGTGCGCACAGAACACCGCGGGCAGTCTCAATTTGACGAGATACGATAATTGCGAAAATTCTTAACCTAATAAATAATTCTCTCTTAAAAAATATAGTGCAATCACGTAAAATCCAATAGTCAGTGAAAAATAATTGATTGAAGAGAATTTAGCGTGTGGATTTTGGTCTTGACCATCAAAAACACTTCGATTGGATCTCTGAAATGGGAATGGGAGTATCAGATACATTGAATTACGTTCTGTTTTCTAATGCCGTCAGCTCGAGTGCCGGTTCGTTTGCGAAAACTGCTGCATCAGCTGTAAGTCGTTGTTATTTTTTAATAAAAAATAAGAGGAATTAATTTATTTATTGTTATTGCCTGATTTTTGGAGACTGGGTAATGCTTCTATAGTTTATTCTGAGGCCATATTTTATATTTTTTCCAGCTATTTTGAATTATCATTTTTTAAATAGTCCCACCAGTGTCCAACAGCTGCAGAGTGGGGATGACATGGAGATGAGGGGAAGGTGATAGTGACCGGGGTGCAGTACTACGATGTCGCTGGAGTCTCTCCAACCCCCAAGTGAATTTTTTGAAGATCTTTGAAAATGCGGATTCGCCTTGAGAGTGAGACTTTCGCGCGTTTTTTAAGAAGGTTAGGTTTATTACCGCCAGAATATCGGAGGAGTTGTCATTTTGTGTTTCTTATTTTTAGCTGTGAAAAATATTAAATTGAAATTTTCCAGTGAAAGGTTTCATAATCATTCAATAATAATTGAATCAAAGGCACTGAGTAATTATTTCACCGACAGTTTGAATTTTGAGAATTGATTCCGATCGCTTCATTTATTTCTAAAAAACTCAGTGAAAAATGGTGAGAATTATTCTTTGGTGATTCGAATAATAAAATCTGTTTAAATCTCTAATAAATCTCTAAAAATCTGTCACCAGAGTGAATTGAGTTCTCCAGGTCGTCGACAAGACGCCCCGACATCCCCAGCCCCAGAGATAGACGAGCCATTCGAGGACGAGACCGACCTCCTGGGGGACGCGATGTCCCAGGATGATGTGGCAAACGAGGAGGAAGCCGATGGTGAAGAGCTGTTCGGTGACAACATGGAAGCGGATTATCGTCCAATGCCAGGACTAGATCGTTACGACAATGTCCTGATGGATGACTCTGAGTACTCAGAGCTCTCCCAGGGTGACAGAGTAGCAGCCGAGGCTGCAATGAATCGACGAGATCGAGCTGCTGGAATTTTCAGGGACGACCGTGATCTCCTGTACGAGGACTCAGACGAGGACGATACCCAGGCGACAAAACGTCGACGAGCTGAGAAAGCAGCAACTGGCGATGTCGAGGATTCCGAGATGATCGAGTCAATCGAAAACCTGGAAGACACCAAGGGCCACAGTGTCAAGGAGTGGGTGATGATGCTGGGGCCAAGAACAGAGATAACAAATCGCTTCAAGAACTTCCTGAGGACTTACACAGACTCCAAGAGCCACTGCATGTATAAAGAACGAATTCGTCACATGTGCGAGAGCAATCAGTCGTCATTTGTCGTTGAATTTCCAGTTCTTGCCAGCAAGGAGCACGTGCTAGCTTATTTTCTCCCCGAGGCGCCCTTTCAGATGCTCGAGATATTCGATGCCGTTGCCAAGGAGCTGGTGCTCACGATTTTTCCGAGTTACGAGAGAGTCACGTCGGAGATTCACGTGAGGATTTCAGAGTTACCACTCATCGAGGAGCTCAGGACTTTCAGAAAACTTCACCTCAATCAGCTCGTTAGGACTCTGGGAGTTGTTACAGCAACAACTGGTGTTCTTCCTCAGCTGTCTGTTGTTAAATACGATTGTACCAAGTGTGGATATGTCCTGGGGCCCTTCGTCCAGAATCAAAATACCGAGGTGAAGCCTGGCTCCTGTCCTGAGTGCCAAAGTGTCGGACCCTTTATAGTCAACATGGAGCAGACGATATACAGGAATTACCAGAAAATCACTGTGCAGGAGTCCCCTGGGAGAATTCCAGCTGGGAGAATTCCCCGGAGCAAGGACTGCATTCTCCTCGCTGACCTGTGCGATCGCTGCAAACCTGGTGATGAGATAGATCTCACTGCGATCTACACGAATTCATATGATGGATCGCTGAATACTGAACAGGGATTTCCTGTATTTTCCACTGTACTCCTGGCTAATCATGTTTTTGTCAAGGATTCCAAGGAGATTGTTGACTCACTCACTGAGGAGGACATCTCCAGCATCCTGAAGCTGTCAAAGGATCACAGAATCTCTGACAGAATAGTATCTAGTATTGCCCCTTCGATTTATGGACACGATTACATAAAAAGGGCTCTGGCACTCGCTATTTTTGGTGGTGAGTCGAAAAATCCTGGAGGCAAGCACAAGATCAGAGGAGATATCAATGTCTTACTCTGTGGAGATCCTGGAACTGCCAAATCTCAATTTCTCAAATACACCGAGAAAATTGCACCCAGAGCGGTGTTCACCACTGGACAGGGCGCCTCAGCTGTGGGTCTCACTGCTTATGTCCGAAAATCTCCAGCAACCAGGGAGTGGACTCTCGAGGCTGGGGCTCTGGTGCTCGCTGATCATGGGGTATGTCTCATAGATGAGTTCGATAAGATGAATGATCAGGACAGAACGTCCATCCACGAGGCGATGGAGCAGCAGAGCATATCTATTTCTAAAGCTGGTATTGTCACCTCTCTGCACGCCAGGTGCTCGGTTATTGCTGCCTCTAATCCCATTGGTGGGAGGTATGACGCCAGTATGACATTTTCGGAGAATGTCGATTTATCAGAGCCCATTATCTCCAGATTTGATATTCTGTGTATCGTCAAGGATGAGGTGGATCCCATGCAGGACAGGCATCTAGCAAAATTTGTGGTGAATTCTCACATCAGGCATCATCCCACTAATGAGGAGAGGGATCTCCCTGAGGAGCTAGTCGATAATAACGAGGCTGAGGATATCTCCATCCCCCAGGACTTGCTCAAGAAGTACATCGTATACGCAAGACAGAATATTCACCCGAAATTGACGAATGTCGATCAGGATAAAGTGGCTAAATTGTATGCACAGTTGAGACAAGAGAGTCTTGCCACTGGGAGTCTTCCCATAACAGTTAGACACATTGAGAGCATCATCAGGATGGCTGAGGCCAGTGCTAAGATGCATCTCAGGGATTATGTCAGAGAGGACGATGTCAATCTCGCAATCAGGATGGCTTTAGAGAGTTTTGTTGATACTCAGAAATACTCGGTGATGAAGAGCATGAGGAGCACCTTCCAGAAGTACTTGACGTACAAAAAAGATCACAGCGAGCTGTTGTATTATATTCTCAGGCAGATTACTTTGGATACTCTGGCATTTCAGAAAGCTGTCAGGGGAACTAGAATCACCACTATCGAAGTACCTGAGAAAGACCTCGCTGACAAGGCTAAGAGAATTGATATTCATAATTTGCAGACCTTCTACGAGAGTCCTGTCTTTAAGAATAATAATTTTGTTTATGATGCCAAGAGGAAGGTTATTGTCCAGACACTTCCCGATGCTGAGGAGTGAGAAGAGTTCTAAAGGTTTTTTACTGAATTTCTTTTTTACGAGGTATATTCTTTCCGTTCCAGGCAATAGTCTCTTTATTTTTTAATAAATCATTTTTTACGTGAATTGTTCAAAATTTTTGGAGTACCTCAGCTACTGAATTTATTCAGGAGTCAGAAATATTCATAAGAATTTCTGATGTGTCCAATTTCTTTATTTATTGGGTCTTTTATTCCTTTAATTAATGTTGAGAGGAGTATAAATGATTTAATTAATTCGCCTTCATTAGTTTCGATCACGAATTCATCTTCTATTATTCTGTACATGAAAATATTTATTTTGCGACAAATTGCTTTGAGTTGTATTTACAAACAGTAACGTGAATGACAAATGGTGCATGTGTAAATGACGAATGGGATTAAGATCTGCGCTTCTGTTTTTTTCGTCGTTTCTTCGAGGGCTCTGAGTCACTGCTTGAGGAGGTGCTCGATGAGCTGCTGGAGCTGCTCGACGAGCTCGAGGAGCTGTCACTGCTCGAACTCGAGTTGGAATCGCTTTCTGAACTTGAATTTGAACTGCTGGTGTCACTGTCACTGCTCGACGATTCAGATTCACTCGAACTACTCGAAGATTCTGATTTTACCCTTTTTGATTTTTTGACACGCGTTTTTTCGGATTTTTTAGGCTCTCTGTAAACAAATAATTGAGTTCATACATTCAAATCAATCGATTTTTCCAATTCAATTGAGAATTCACAAAATCACTGACGGGTTATTAATTATCAGTTACTTATCGATTATCGGGAATTATTAAACGTCTTACAAATTTCCCGCTTCGATATCCTTCAACGCCTTTTTTAATTGGAACGTTCTAGACGATCTGTGAAGATATTTTCGTTTTCCCTTGCACTCGTAGCTCCAGTGTCCCATCTCCAGACACTTCTGGCACCTCATCCCCTGGGGGTATGGATTCCTGAAGAAAAAATAAAGCCTTAAATAATAAAATTGCCCCCCCGAACTCTAATGAACCAATAATTGTTATAAATAATTCGAAAACTCGATTTTATCAATTTCCTCCGATTGTATATCCAAGAGTTGACGCTAACCTCGTCCTAACCTCATCCCCAGCTATTCTCAAGGATCGAAACCATTTCATCAATCCCCAAAACAAAAATAATAATTAATCCCCAGAGTTTTGGTTTTTTTTTCTCTTTTTGAGCCTTTTCGTTTTTCTCGCTGTGTGAGTTTTTTTTCGTTTTACTGTGTCAACTCTCTTACGATCTGATGTCCCGCTCTCAAAATCCTCACCTCAAAAATTCAATTCGAAGACTCACCTGAGTCGATAAATTACCGATGAATCATGTAAATCATTAATTTGCGGCGGGGGAATTTGTTTTTCCTTAAACCGCTCCACTGCTGAATACAATTAATTTATTTTCATACATTCATAGTATTATAATTTGTTTAAACACTTCCATCATTCCCCCGCAATTATAAAATTCTAATATTAATTTAGTTAATTAATTAATTGATTTAGTAATTCGAAATAATTAGTTCAAGTATTTTTGCGCGAGAGTTACATCTCTCACTTGTTTGATACGCCAGTTATAATGAGTTTTGAGACATTTGTCGTGGATTTCATTACGATAATTTGATGGATAGACTTGAGGAACGATCAACGAGTCATTTAGAAATCATTGAATCCCACAAGACGATGATCGAGAGGGACTCGAGCGAAATATCTGGAAATTGGAGAGCAATTACAATATTTCTGCATTTTGTCTGTGCAATCTCCGGATACGCGTCGTCGACGTTATTCTACATTTTCTGGGTGAAAACATTAAACAATTAAATTAACGTCAATCTCCCAGTTATTATTATTTATAAAAAACCGTGCGAGGATGATACAAAAATAAAACAGAGTAATTAAAAATGTTCTGCTGCTTTTTAGACAAAATTTCGGGTGAAAGGAGCAGAACATTTTACCTGTGGCATATTGACGGTAAAAAATTAATTTCATTTGGAAAAAAAGAAGTTGAATTTGCGGATTTGAATAGCACGATATTTTTGGACTGAATTGTCCCATCTGGGCGAGACTGGAGCCTCCAATTCATATCAGATGGCTCAAAGAAATGGGGACTGAGGTAATTGAAGAAGAGGGGCCTGAATTCCCTAATGACGACTGGAGAAAAAAATTGATAATCGAATTCAAACACGATTTCCATTGTCAATTCTTCTTCTGCATGTGCTTGTGCTCGTGCTCTTTCGGGATTATCTGGCTCATGATGTTCTGGAGATGTGGAAAGGGTGGATACGACACAAGAGTGCAAGTATTTTCTTGATTAAAATTTTCTTTCACTGAAGTAATTGAGAGACTTTCGTTTCATAATCGAAGAATAATTATTCCACAGCTTCACAGCCCCTTGGCGAATTATCCCTCCAGCTTTGATATTTCATCTGATTGTTGCACCGATTGTCATCGGCGTTGTCCATAATTTCGTGTATGGATACTGGAGTTTCACAAAAAATTTAAAGACTGTTGCTGCAACGTACATGAATGCCACAGAAATGGCTAAATTCGAGAGGTACCGTCGATATTTCAATCTGAAATCATTTCCTCTCAGCTATTCCCGTTTTCCAGACACTGTGAAATTGTTTCCTATTATCTGGAAGTATACGACATCAACAGATATAATGTGTGTCATGTTTACACTGCAATCCAGGTATTTTCTCATTCTGAATTCCATCCCAATTTTATCGTACAAAAATAATTCACTATTTAGATCATTATTCAGATATTCTCGTGGATGATGGCCTGGAGTTGGTTCCTTATCCTGGGGATTCTCTCATTACGTGTAATTGTAGCGACTGATTTTCGATTGCTCATAACTACAGTTTACAAAATACCAAAGCCTGAGAATTCTGGAGATCCAGGAGCTACAGGGGAAAAAATGAAAGAGACCCTGGAGCCATCAGCTGTGAAAAATAGAATGAAGAAAATTACTTTCTCAATTCCAGAGCGAGGAACTCATCAATCTAACCAATCAACACTTGTCGTTTAATAATTATTCATTAATTTATTCATATATATAACGTTTCTGAAAGTATATTCAGTTAATTTAATTAAATTAATTATCAATAAACTATTGATCAAAAAGTGTAAAATTGCTGTTCTAAAATTATCCAAGTGATTTCTAAATAATTAGAGTGGCTTTCACTTGGAAATTAATTATTCACCTGGTTTTTTAAATTATCAACATTCGTCCACGGGCACTACCTTATCCACAGGTACGCCCTCTCTTTCATGTAGAAGTTTATTATTTGTACAGGCGCTAGTCCCTATAATCTCCAGAAAATTGATTATCGGAACGAAAAGTCGCTTGACACAATTATAACGAATTACTTATTAATTTTTGATATTTGCCCTCGTCATAAAATAATATAAATAATCAGTGAAAAATTAATAATGATTTAAAATCACATATCAATGGAGAAAAATAAATGGTTTTGAGTGTTTGAAGAATAGAATAATTATAATAAAAAATAACATTCAAACCCTGTAGTGCAACTATAGAAATCGAATGGATATGAATAAAAAACGAAAGGACGACAGGATCATCGACGAGGATGATGATTTCGTGTGGCAAGATTATCTGGATGCAACAGGGACAATAGAGGTGCCACAAATTAATTTTCCACATGTAGAATTGACACTGCAGAATGGAATTGAGATTGGAATGGCTCTTGAAGTGCCAACATCAAAGAATGACAAGTGTGACACTTCGTATTGGATAGCAACAATTGTCATGGCATGTGGACCTCTTCTGAGGCTTCGTTACTTTGGTGGTGATGACAGGACCCTTGAATTTTGGTTTAATCTAACTAAAGAAGCTGCACACGAATTGGGATGGTGTGTGAAAAATGATAAGAAGCTGGAGCCACCAGATGCTATCGTCCAGAGATCTCCAGATTGTCTGGAGATGCTGCCAGGATTCTTGATGACTGCCAAATCTGTTCCGCATGAATTATTAAGTGGAGAAGAGTTGAGTATGTCTGAGAAGATAAAGCAGGGGATGAAGATAGAAGTTGTTGATTTTCAGCATCCTTATAAGCTCTGGGTGGCAACGATAATAGAAAATGTTGGAGGCCGACTTTTACTCCGTTATAATACCCCAGGCAGTCAATTCAAAGATTTCTGGATTTTCTGCACGTCAGAGGCTCTGCATCACTATGGATTTGCCTCGAAATGTAACTCAAAATGGTTCTTAGAACCCCCTAGCTCAATCGTCGATGCCCACTCCTACGAGGAATGGAAGGCAGTTGTAGAATCCTCTCAGAAAGAAGTTCCAACGGCAAATCTCTTTCAGGAACTTCCCAGTCATCCAGTTCATCAGTTTAAATTAGGTATGAAACTGGAAGCTCTCTCGCCTACTGATAGAACTCGTATATATCCAGCTACAGTAGCTAAAATTTACGATGATACATATTTTCTCGTTCAAATCGATAACGTGGACACATTACCAATCACAGACGTGGATTCTATGAAATATGAGAGTCCAGAGAAAACTAGCTGGCTATGTACATCCGTTCATCCTTATATATTCCCTATAAATTGGGCTAAAACCCACAACATCAAATTTTCACCGCCAAAAAATTGGAAAGGAAATTCTGGTGATTTTGATTGGAAGAAATATATGAAAGAGACTAAATCAACACCTGCCCCGATGGAGCTGTTCCCCAATCGTCAATCAGCTGTCGATGCAGGATTTGAGGAAGGAATGAGGCTAGAGGCTGTAGATCCAAGGAATGAGAACATCATCTGCGCCGCACACATCACCAGAATCATCGAAGATCTTCTATTTCTCTCCCTAGACAATTATGAATGGCATGTTGATCATATCGTACACATGCACTCGCTGCAGATATTTCCTGTTGGATGGTGTGAGTCTAATCATTATCCTCTGAAACCACCACGGGATTACATGGAGGTATGCAAGAAGCTGGAGAAACCTGAGAAGGAGGAGAATGAAAAATTGCCATTTGATGTGTCATTCTCTGAGCTGAGATCCTCACTGTGGTGTCCAAAAATTTATTTCAACTACCGTTGCTGCACTGGACCGATGATATCCAAGGGAAAATTAGCTGCTCTGCCTAAAGCGGTGGGTCCTGGGCCTGTGGTGCTGGTTATGAGAGAAGTTCTTTCAATGATCGTTTCGGTTGGCTACAGGAGTGCTAGAATCCTCAAAGTACTTCAGTGTGACACTAAACCTGATCCTGGCTATCACCTTGAGATCCTCAAAGCCAAATACAAAAATAATACGTACAGGGCTAGTGTTGCTGTGATAACGTCTGGGGATATGGTCGCTGATTTTTGTAAAAGTATCTGCAAAAAATTGATGGTGTGCCAGAATTTATTTGGGCCGCACGAGGTGGAGGCGGAATGCCCTGATAAATGTAGTAGAATGAACAAGAGTAAATATGTGGCTATTCACAATGGAAAGAGAGGAAAACCCAAGGGGTATGAGAGCATTCTGGTACAAAAACCAAAACCTTGGGGGAAGAAGAAGAGGAAGAGGCGAGGTCGTTGGGCTAATAGGGATAAGGAGGGATCTGATAATGGGGAGAGAGAGGAGGAGATCAATTATTTTTCATTGGACTTGGAGAGAAATAATTTAGAGGAAATTGATGAGTGTGTCGATGGTAAACCGCAGTTGTCAGAAATCGATGTTATGATCCAGAAAGGCGAGTCAGGAAAAGAAGAAAGGAGTAAACCTGAGGTATGAACCTGATTAATCAATTAAATCAATTAATTCAATCAATTGAATGTACGGAATGCATTCTACATGATTTTATATATTTTACTTTCAGTTGGGGTCCAGTAATGCTTCAGACGACTCCAGGAGTTCGTTTAATGAACGTAGGGGAAAGGAAATATTTGTGGACAGTCCAGGGAGCTCCAATGAAAAGAATTCTAGCAAATCGGGAAAAGGCGATAATGGGAAGAGTAGAAAGAGAGATAGAGACCGAGAGGCGGATTTCGACGACGAAGGGGAATCCGAAGGATCTGAGGATGACGTTGAGTACATTGAGAGACAGAAAAAACAGAGAAGACCCAAAACCAGAAAGCTGGATAGTAATCCACTGTTCTGGACTGTTGATGATGTCTTCAGATATTTGAAGAAGACGAATGATTGCAAAGATATTGCTGATCGAGTTAAACAAGAGGTAAATTGAGTTAATTAATTATTGATTATGAATTGTGTAATATATTTTTTTAGTTGTGTGAATTTATGAAGATGTTTTATTGCAGGAAATTGATGGACTTGCCTTTTTGCTACTGAATCTACCGTCATTGACTCAACACATGAAATTACGAACGAGTCTGGCGATGAAGCTCTGCAGGCACGTTGAACAAGTTAAAGTAACATTTTTCTTGAGGCACATTAATGAGCTTGAAAATGATAACAAGGAGTAAATAAATACACACTTTTAGTAATTATACCTTGTGTGATTGTTTATTGAACACATGTGTTGAATTTACAATTATATAAGCGATCCACTTCAATTTTAATGAAATCGATCGGTGTAAATAGTTTCTACAATTGATCCATTTAATTTATTCGTTAATGAATAATTACGTCTAATGATTGTTAGAATCAGTTTATCGGGATTGAGGGTTGAGGTCTAAGAAATCTTACGGTAAGTATAAGTGAAATTCTCTCTGTCGAGTATTTTGTACTGGTAATTTTTATATGTCGTGAAGTCTTTTGCTCGCATTTGATCCACGTGTGTGATAATTTTTCTGATCACTGGAGGAAATGACGGAACATTTGCTGCTGACGCTAGCTCATCGTAGTAAGACCATTGTCGTTCTTTCAATTTGCTGATATGACGTACCTGAATCGATAAATAAATACACCAATAGTAAATACTCAAACGATAACGAGTCCCTTTCCCAATTAATTTAAATTCTGGGCAAGTAGTTCTGGATCTAAAAGAGATGGTAAAAGCGAATGGTTTCGTAGAACTTTTTTTTATCTCTTACATAAAGTTATTAGTAACCCAAAAAAAATAATGATGAAGGAAAAAATGCATTCGCAAATTTTGAATGATTACTTACTGGAATTCCTTCGTCCAGAAGTGCCTGTTTCTCTCTCATGAAGTCCATCCGCATTTCCTCTGACGAGGGAAGCTTGAGTTGTCCTTCCAATATTTTCAGAATGTATTGCGCCTGAATATGAAACATTGGGAAAGGAATCACAAGACTTGGTAGTCCCATAAAGAATAAATTCGGCATGTCCGTGTGAATTAAGTGTTTGTAGATCGGTTCTACATGATTATCTACCGTCAGCAGCTCGATTTTCTCAGACAGAAATGGATACGTGAATTTGTACCCTGAAAAATCCCATAAAACCATTCTCATTCCTGAAATTTCTTTTTATTTCAATTCTCAAAGGAATTTTCAAATTAGGATAAAAAAAAAATAGTGGTATCTATCAATCATTGAGAAATCATAAATTTGTTAGTGAAATCAAAGTTTGTTATTGAATTTACCTGTGCAATAGATGAGGTCATCGACCTCTGCACTCGTTCCATCCTTGAAGATGACGGTATTCCCCTCGATGGAGATGATTCCAGGCCTCTGCTCTATATTCTCCGGCATCACTGCACCCAGAGTCTCCAAATTGTGACTCAAATAAATCTAGAAATTAAAAACCGAATAATTACGAATACGCTGATTATTTCAATCCCTAGAAATAATTTTCTCACTATCCTAATTTCAATCCATTAATCATGATCCATTAATCATCAATATTTTCATATTTCCATTACAAATATTCAATTATAACTCATTATCTAATAATTATGGTGATTCATAAATAATTGATAATGTGGTTCAAAAATCCGGACGATTTTTGTTTAAAGTCTTTCATTTCATAGAAATAACAGGAAAAGGAGGATTACCTTAGTAGCGTAATTAGCGACCTCGGTTGCGATATCAATTCCCGACCACGATGCCCCAAATATGCAAACCCTCCTGCCAGCGTATTTCTTCGGATTTCTGTACTGGTGACTGTGGATACAATCCCCAGGGAATGTTTCACTTCCTTTAATCATCGGTATAACACCAACACTGTAATTTCCATTGCACACAACAACAGCATCGAATGTCTGGGTGCATTGAACTTTATCGATAACATCCTCGTAGGTGATGGCGTAGATTGTCCGACCGCTTCCCGACGTCGACGGCTCGACGCGTGTCACCAGAGTATTGAACTTATAAAAAAATTCCCTGATTAATTTCCCACATATTTACCAGCGGAAATATTTCCATAATGAATTGGTAAATTATGATAAGTGTATTTGAACCGGGATTATCGATGAATATCGATTAATATCATTGAAATGGAAAGAGATAATGAAATTTTTATAAATATCTTTTTTCTCCGTCACACGTCGCTCTGCAAAAAAGACGTTTATGAAAATTTCTCTATGTCTCGTTATTTACGAGATATCTACTGATAACTGACTCGGGGTGAAAGGCTCGTATTTCATTTTACCGATTTACTTTAGAAATGTCGGGGTATCTGATGTCAATTTTTTTGTTTCTCTTTATCATCGATTACTCACCTTTATGAATGGATAAATATTAAAATGCTGTGTGTAATCCTCAAGATATTGCTTGATAACCCTGTGACTCACAAAAGATCTCGTGTCTTCCACTTTCAACGGAAAATCCGGTATTTGCATAATTTCTTTAGGCAAATTCGTTCTGAAAAAAATCCCAGACTGCCTAATCACCCTAACAACTAACTAACTAACAACAATTGATAATTATTGTGATAACAACTAACTAACAACAATTGATAATTATTGTGATGAGTAAGAAGTGCCGAAGAATTATTTGAATCAAAAATTTTCTGTAGAAAATCAAAAGCGATTATTATCTGGAACTTTCTCGCAGCATTTTTAAATATAAAAATGAATCCAAGTGGATGGACTCGTCTGGCCTTATCACGTCGTCTGTTATTTTTACAGAGTAGTAAAATTAATTAGAATTGACGATATTTACTTGAGATTTTCGTACATGCTGCTGTGCACCCGTAGACCATTTTTATCGAGATCTGTGTCATCGGTGTAGACCCAGGTACCACCGACAGCATCAGTTTGCTCAAACAAAGTTAACTCTATATCCTGGGGTCTAGATGAGATGTGTCTAGCTGCAACCAATCCAGCAACACCACCTCCAATTATAGCAACCCTCGTCTTATTGCTCGGCATCTTATCGATTTATCCAAATCAATTGATAATTTCAGATAATTGCTGTCAAAGTTCTTCTCACGAGTAATTAACAGTCGATTTTTATAAGCTCGAGGGATTATTGCTGAGAATAATCGGCGGATAATAACTCTTTGCGATAATTGATCGGTATTGTTAATTGTTAATTCCAATTGTCGATCACTCGATGTGTCTCGATTGGCGTTACAATTCAGACTGAGTAGAAGACTTTATCGTCGTGCCTTCACTCCAAATTTCCTCCTCGGTATTTTTTACCGATAATATTTCAATCGCCGTTAAATATACGGTACTTAGCGTACCAATTACTGTTCGAAAAAAAAACCCCGACTAATCGGTAAACGACGAACGTCTGAGAAGGGCAATTTTTTTTTAATTTCCTGGGATAGAACAGTTACGGTAATGACTTTTGTCAATTAAATTTATGTAAGAGAATAACCGGTAAATTTTACGTATCATTGACTTCGGGTTCATCGAGTGTGAATTTATTAATTTCAGTGACGATTAAATGGGAATTAATGAGGGCAGACAATTGTTTATTTTCTCGGTGAATAATTATCGGTATTATTAGCGTAATGAAAGTTTATGAATTAAAGCTGAGAGTAGATGAAATGGAAAGTGAATGGTTGGCACCATTTTCAGATTATTTTCTCCAGCCAAGATAGCATTCCAGAGGTGCAATTACGATCACGTGAAATACTTGAGCAATTACCAGTGCTTTGAAGTATGTAATTGGGACTTGAAGGGAATTACGTGATTATGTTTCAGTTGAAGTGTAAAAGTTTATGCAATGAAGAGTGGAATTTTTATGTACGTCTGCAATTGCTCGTCAATTTATGAAGATTATAATTCATTTCAATCGATATTAAAAACAGAGATTACAGGGGAGATCGGCAAGGCTTATTGGAAAGGTTCAACAGGGAAATTCCAGAATCATCAGTTAATCCCAATTAATCAATAATTGAAGTCATTATATTCAATAGATAATTCCCAATTATTTCAGGTGAATCACCATTTATTCCCAGAGGTTTTAATTGGCAGTAGATCTTGACAAAAATCAAAACCTTCGCTCTGTCATTGATTCATTTAAACTGGGTCATTTGAATTTTTTGATGACAAGTACGAATTGCTGATCTATTGTTGATCTAGTCAAGTCTCTGCGTTTACGTCAAATTTTCAGATAGAGGAATTAACAAATGTGACATCTCAATTTTCGTGTGCAATTGTTCGTCTCGACGAATATATCGCAACAGCTGTGTTTCTCCTCGGAGAAAAACATTTAAATGCGGATGTACAGAAATATTTTGTCTTGATTTCTTATCACGATTGCCGGATCTTCGGAGAGAAAATAAATAGCCCGAGGGAATTTTATCAGCTGCATGCAGACGTCATGAAATTTTGTTTTTAAGATGATATTAGACTAGAATTCTACCCCAACACGTGAGACAATTACCAACAATTAGTACACGACAATGAGTTCCTCAATCCTGTGACTTCTATGTCATCATCCGTCATAAAATATTTTTAATTGTTATTTAATGGTTTTTTACTTTTCAGAAAAACCATCACCTCAAATATTATATAATCCCTTAAGCAGGGAGTTAAATAAAAATAGTCAATTTGCAAATAAATTACCGTCTTTGCAAAACCAGTAGTTGAGTTGAAAAAAATATGTGAGACAAAAATACCGCGACCAACGCGTGTTAAAGTGCATTCAACTCGACTTGTTTTTTTTTTAGAAAATCTAATTTACGAGATCCAGGAGAAGGCAAACCATTGGGTAAAAAGAAAACATTCGTTTATTTATTATTGATTTGTAATTTTTATTTTTTTACATTTTAAATATATTCATTCATTATTTAATATCGTAACCACAATCATCAGAAGATTGCAAATTTACTGTCACATGTTTAATAATTCTTCGTTCATTAATATCATTAATTCATTCAACAAACAATTTATCTTGAAGAATATTTATTATTCAGTTATATCATAGATTGACCGTCTGATCTGGTCTATTTCAAATTTGTGAATTCAGGTTTGCATCTTCTACATGTTTTCCTGGTTTGTAATTATCTTATCCGTCGAATTCTGTTTCCAGGTGTCCTCCAGCGTCGAATTCTGCTTCAGCGTGCGCTCCCAGGCCGAATTTCAGTCCACCAAGTCCTCTAAGATCGATTTCACCATCAGCGTGTCCTCCTGCATGGTACCCGCCCTCTGCGTAACCATCGTGCTCAAAGTGACCATGTTTACGCCTATGGAATGTTTGAAAATGATCCTTTCCACTCGCATATGTTCCATACAAGGTCTTTCCGGCATTTGCCACTCCTGAAATGTACTCTTTACCGGCGCCTACTACTCCTCCACCCACTGCCACAATGGCATCTGTTCCAGCCTGTGCTACACCAGCGATTTTTCTCCGAATGTTGTGGAATCCGTCCAGAAATCCTGAACCTTCGAGTCCTCTGTGTTCTATAGAATAGAGTCCTCCGTGTCCCCCGATGTCCAATTCTTTATGTCCTTCAGCAATGAAGCTTGCGCGCTCTTCAAGATTGAGTCCTCCGATTCCTCCGGCGTCCAATCCTATACCAATTCCTCCGTGTCCTTCAGCAATGAGTTTTAGGTGGTCTTCAGAACTGAATCCTCCGTGCCCTGCCGTAAGGAGGCTTATTCGTTCGTCAGAACCGTGTCTTCTACCAAGGAGTAGGTGTTCTTTAGAACCGTGTCTTCCATATTCTCCGAATCTCAATCCTCCATATTCTTCACTACCATATCTTCCATGTTTTCCAAAAATGAAGCTTGCACGTTCGTCAGAACTGAAACTGTCGTCTATTCCATATTTTCCATGTCCAAATCCATATGCATGCCCACGTCGATACCCACGTCCAAGCCCGTACCCATGCCCATGCCCATAACCATGCCCATGCCCATGTCCATATCCATGTCCATATTCATGTCCTCCAAGTTTTTCAACAACAATGCTTAGCTCATCTTCAGAATCGAGTCCGTACCCATGCCCATGACCATGTCCATGCCCATATCCATATCCATGTCCATGTCCATGTCCATATCCATGTCCTCCATGTTTTTCAACAACAAAGCTTAGGTGATCTTCAGAATCGAGTCCTCCGAGTAGTCCAGTACCAAATCCTCCCTCGTGTTCAGCAACTAGGGTTGCGTATTTTTCAAAACCGACTCCTCCATGGCCTCCGGTATGCAATCCGCCATATTGCCCATGCCCATACCCATGCCCATGCCTATGTCCATGCCCATGCCCATATCCACGCCCATGCCCATACTCATGCCCATACTCATGCCCATACCCATGCCCATGCCTATGCCCATGCCCATGCCTATGCCCATGCCTATGTCCATATCCATGTTCATGTCCATGCCTTCCATGGTGTTCAGAAACGAAACCTAGTAGATGTTCATCAGAATCGAATCCTCCATATCCTCCAGTACCGTATTCCCCGTGTTTTTCAGAAACGAAGCCTGCGCGTCCTTCCAGACTTAGTCCTCCCAATCCACCGGTTTGGAATCCTGCATGTCCTTCAGCAACGAGTTTCGCTTGCTCTTCAATGCTGAATCCTCCATGTGATCCACCTCTAAATCCTGAGTGTCCACCGTAGCCTCCATGCAATCCACCAGTCAATCCTGATCCTAATCTCAATGCAGCTTTAGCTGCATGACTGAGTAAACCGATGCCACCAAATCCTCCATGTCCTCCACCACCGAGTTCTCCATGAAATTCTGCTCCAGCCTTCAATGCCCCACCGAGACCTCCGTGTCCTCCGTATCTCTCCTCAGATGAATCGTAGTCTCGTGAGACTAACTGTTGAAAATGTTAACGAACAATAATCAATTTATTTAATTCCTCAACGATTTCTAGATATCAAAATATAGATTGACGTATGTACGGAGCTATAAACCATATGTTTGTTTCGACAACATTTTTACTTCTCTACGATAAAAGATAAACATTCCTACTTTTATGTTTTACTGATAACTCCTTGAGAATTCCTCGAACACCCGAAATTAACTGCTTCAAAACTTGAAAAAATTCAACTTCTACAAGTGCGCAATTAAAAAAAAAATTAATGTCCTCTCAAAAAATAAATATTTGGAAATGAAAATTGACAAAATTGAATGACTGGAGCGGTTTTGAGTAATTGTTGTTATTATTGATTTTAGTAATAAATATTCAATTTATTATATTTAATTCCTCACCCAGGCCGTTACGTGGGGAGAAATCGCTAACAATAAGCCGATAATCATTGGACTGATGAAAAATATCTTCATGTTTCCGCCAGTCGGATTCACTTGATTTTTCACTAAAAAATCGCACGTCTCAAGACGAATCACCAGGTGACGACTGATTTTACCCGCCTCTTGGTTGTCCTTATTAAGGCTGGACAATCGTCCAAGTTCCTGGGGGAAACTACTTAAAAAATGGCAGTTATTCAGGTAAGGAAAATAAAAATTATCAAGAATCATTCGACACGTGGAGTTTAGAATCGAGTTTATTTTCAAGAATATGAATATTTTCAGTGATAATAATCAAGCAATAACATTTTTAATAACATTTATATTCGGTGGAGCCTATTTCCGGTACCATAAAGTAATTCGTCAGCTTATTAATGTTTTTTTTTTGTTTCGTTTAGTAATATTTAGAAAGGCAATTTAAAATTCGACGGTTGCATCAGCTGGGTTGTGGACCGTCTCAGCCTAGGGGTAAGCGTGTCTGCAATATTTAACAATTTTTACGTATTATCAGTATTCTTGTGTTCTAATGTTGCTAAAATTTTATGCTTACCCAGGGTGCCTTTCATTCTCGTAACTGAGTCTACCATCCCAGTGACCAGCTTCCCCTGCCAATCAGGATTTTCGAATTCGATTATCGAATCAGCGAGCTCAGCTTCTTCTTCTTCTTCTTTTTCATCTTCCACTAGCTCCTCTTCTTCCTACAAATATTCAGGAAAGAATTTTTTTTAGCCAATCCACAATGGAATAACGCAAGACGAATTGAGATAAATCGAAAGTCCTCGGAAAAAATATATAGAAAAAATTTCAATTGCTGAATACAATTGCTTAAAATTTCGAAAAGAGTAGTATCAATTTCGCTTATTTAACAGACTTTTTTAATAAATTGCAATTAATTCTCATTACTATTACAATTAATGGCATTCTGCATAATTGTCAAGCAAAATTTTTTAAATGTCCAAGAACAAATGACCCACCTGTGGCATTGGCATTGCTAGAACCCCAACCAATAGACTAAAAATTATCGGAGCGATGAACAATCTCTTCATATTGTTGATAATTGATATTTCGCTGAAGAAAAAATTTCCCACGGAGAAAGCTAATGACGATTCAATCCTGAATTTTCTTTTCAGATTCTCAAGGAAGTACTGTGACAATTCTCGCAATTCGGGTGGCTTTTATACAGCTAGAAAAATCCTTAATAAATATGACATATAAGGAAATCGATTTTTATGTTCAGCACGTGGATTATCTATTCTGTGGTAGTCGATGAAAATAAATATCGAATTCGCACCGTCAGCTTCCGGATCGTCAATAAAATAAACATAAAGTTTTATTTCTTACAAGAATTTTTGTGTTTAAATTGTTGCATAAAAATTATTAAGAATCATTCGACACGTGGAGTTTAGGATCCATTTTATTTTCAAGAATGTTAATATCTTCTGGGGTAGTAATGAAACAGTAACATTTTTAATAATATTTATATTCGGTAGAGGCTGTTTCCGATACCATAAAGTCATTGTTTATCAATGTTTTTTTTGTTTGTTTAATCATTTTCCCCTTCTGCGTTAGATAGCATCAAGGCCACCGCTGCGCCCACAGGTCCCAGTGGCAGCAGACCCAATGCAAGGGGTGCTATTCTCTTCAATTGTTCGAGGCCTTCATCTTCTTTTAATTTTTCCCTCTTTTGAAGTAATTCCACTGTCATTCATCCTCTCAAGTATTTGTCGATGGAGGTTCACCAAATCTTCTTCATTTAGATCCGATTTTCCGCCTTTCAATTTGACTTGGTCGCCTTCCTACAAATATTCAGGATAGATTTTTTTTTAACTAATTCACAGTGCAATAGCGCAAGACAAATCGACGTAAATCAAGAGTCCTCGGAAAAAATATATAGATAAAATTTCAATTGCCGAATACAATTGCTTAAAATTTCGAAAAGAGTACTATCAATTTCGCTTATTTAACAGACTTTTTTAATAAATTGCAATTAATTCTCATTACTATTACAATTAATGGCATTCTGCATAATTGTCAAGCAAAATTTTTTAAATGTCCAAGAACAAATGACGCACCTGCGGCATTGGCATTGCTAGAACCCCAGCCAATAGACTAAAAATTATCGGAGCGATGAACAATCTCTTCATATTGTTGATGATTGATATTTTGCTGATGAAGAAATTTCCCACGAAGAAAGCTAATGACGATTCAATCCTGAATTTTCTTTTCAGATTCTCAAGGAAGTACTGTGACAATTTTCGCAATTCGGGTGGCTTTTATATAGCTAAAAAAATTCTTAATAAATATGACATATAAGGAAATCGATTTTTATGTTCAGTACGTAGACTATCTATTCTGTGGTAGCAGATGGAAATAAATGTAGAATTATTGCTGACAGCTTGCGCACAGTCAATAAAATAAACATGAAATTGAAGGTCTTTTTAAATGATATCCCGCGAAATAGAATTTGGCCAAGAAATTGGTCTTCTCGAATATCCAAGGACTATAATATAATATTTTATAATATAGCAATTACAAATGTCTACATTATCGTCATTATTATCATTATCGTCATTATTATTCCCTTTTTATTTAAAAACATGTCGACGCGGTTGGTCTCGTTCTCAACGGGAGGCAAACGCGTAAATATATTTACAGCATTGCGTACAAAAATAGATGTCTTCTAAAAAATTTTCGGGAGTACGTGATCTCCAGCATCAACGAACTGTTCAGTTGATCTGCGACTGCCGTTGAAGAATTGGTGAGTTGTGAAAATAAATAGGACTCATCAATTTCTCAATAAATTCAATTTCAAATCTTCCCACACATGCGTAACACATCCCCACTTATAATCAATTAATAATTCTACGTAATCAATTTTTTGGGATTTTTTTAAGGATCGAAGATGGAATTTGCGACGAGAAACGAAGCGATTGACTCTTTTACCTCTGGAGACCAGCGAATGTAAGTTTCAGATAAAAATTATCCGTTTATTTATTTAATATTGGTTGTATTTCAAAGAGATGTCATTGGATTTGTGGAAACAATTATCGACAATCCACCGACACCGATGGACAACGTGCGACTGATGTTCACATTGAACAACAATCGAGGGAGAACACTTCTCATTTGTATTTGGAATCAAGCGAGTAAAATTCATCCGGAGTTCATCAAACCCAACGCGGTATTATAAAACCTTATAAAATATTTGTTCCAAGTTTGTTGTCAAGATAAAATTCAAATCAAAACCGAAATACAAAATTTTATTTTCGATCTTGCAAAAATTATTAATTATTGTATTTTTACAACAGATTCTTCACATAATTAACGCGCGATGCAAAATATTCGACATCCCATTTGTCCGTGATAATATCAACTCACGAATAAATGGGGAAGCATTCGAAATTCATGTCAATCATCCCACATCGATCATCAAAAAAATCGGCGATTTCAATCCCGAGGAGTTGCAAAAAACAGTGCCACCCACTATTCTGTGGAATCAGATTCGCGAATCTGATGGACAACTCGTGCGTAAGTTATTCCGAAGAATAATTAATAATTCTATCAGAATTGCGCCGATTTCCTACATCTCATTAACGATCGAATTGATGCTGCATAATGACTGATTTTTCCAGGTCTCAAGGGTTTTGTAAAGGGTGAATTTGCAAAATTGAAACACTGCACTTATGGATCCATCACAGACGGCCGTAAAAAATTAAATATCGTCCTGACGAATAACGATGACATACAACACTTTAAAATCGGCGATCTGATCGAAGTCGAGGGGACGATCAACATGAAGGGATATCGTGCCAAATGGTACGGACGCGATCCTCCGGGTATTGAACTCAACGAAGCCTCCAAGATAAAAAAAGTCGATGCCGATTTATCTCTCCTCGAGGTCCTCATGATGGACATTACCCAATATCCTTGAACGATACGTTTAAGACAACTCTCATTGAAATTTAAATAAATTCCCTTTATTTAAACAACGTAATCTCCAAGATTATGAAATAAAACACCGAGATATTGTCGAAAAAATTCCGTTCCACTTGTTCACAAAAAAAAAAACGGTAAACATTTTTAAAAGAACAAAGAATCGCTCGCCACAGGACATTTCGTATGAATAATCTCTTTACATTTAATTTTGTTAAATAACATTTTATAACAAATGCAATGTGTGATTGATACTTTATTAATAAATTGTTTTGTACTGCGAGAACTCGATTAACGAATGTCGATGGTCCCTTCTCCGTCCACTGGAAAATAAAATAATAATTTTGAGAGAATTCTGAGAGGAAAATCAATTGTTTGTGCAGTACTGGGAATTTTATCGGTGTGTTTCTCTTCTGATGACAAACAGGATTGCATTACCGTAGCAGGATGGCACGTTTTCTGGCCAATCACAGACGTTTGTCCAGGGATTGAAAGCTGTACCGGGACCGCAATTAATCACGAAAGTACTTCCACGATCGCACTGCAAAAACTTGTAGCAGTTGTCCGGGTACTCCAGGTAACCAGTGAATCCTGGGGGGCATTGCGGGTTGCTCTGAAGTTATTAAGTCAATAACAAATATTCATTACCATGATAAACGGCGATGGCTTCAATGATAAGTGTCTCTCAGTCATATCTCAACGGATTTTTTTTTTGTTTTTTTTCCCCGAAAAACACGCGAATTTTGAACGCATAAAAAATTTATTATTTTAAAAAATCCACAGAATTTTTATTTTCTCTTCTATTTTCTGTTTTATTTTCTTCACGCGTGTAGAACAATCGGATAATAAAAAAATCGGCATTTTTTTCTAGGAATGATACATTTTTTTATGCTGAACGTAAGGAAAAATGGAATTTATCTACTACAGCGAAAATAACAAAAATTATATGTCTCTATGGGATTATTAATAACGCTTTGATTTTATAAATTACTCACCATGGCGGTTGAAGTGAAGAGAACAATCGCAAACAAGAGATGAATAATGAACAGCTCAAGCGATCGTTTCATGTTGTCCTTGTTTTAATAGTAAATTGAAAATTTCAACTCGTCTTTTGATCCCGTATTGTCTTCCGAATCAGAACTCAGCAGCAACTCACTCCCTTCATCCAGTCCCTGATAATAATAAACCTCGACAGCCAGAGAATCCACACGAAGAAAATATTCCGCGTAAAAATGAAGAGAGAATTGTTTATTGAAGAGTTCTCCTTACCTCATTAATAAATAAATAGTCCGCAAACTATTTTGTCGAGCGATAACACGAGAATGACGAGCTATTGCTTATGTATATGTATCACACAAGTTCATTAAACAATAAATCATTAAAAAAAGATAATCCTCTTTTCCATATTCATTTATTTTTGATTATGACGAGTGACGGATAGCAAGTGAAAACAACAATTTTAATTTGTTGTCTAGAATTTAATTATCCAACTATTTGAGTGTCTTATTATAATTTATTATAACCAGATAACTGTTTTTTTCAATTGCTATTTAATAAATGATAGAGTAAATAGGAATTTTTTAATGTGAAAATAGACATTGAATTCACGAAATCAAATAATTCACGGTTTTATTTCTAAAAACAGATATTATCCGGTTGAATTCAAACTACCAATTAACAAGCTGTGGAGCTGCTGAGGTTTCTCCTGAATTTATAGTTCGTATACCCAATGAATTTTATTTTAATCCGACGACTGGTTGAGAATATTGTAGACGGAGTAGGAAAGCTTGAGTAGCTGAAACCAAATGATTAATAACAAAACAATTAATTTAAAAAAATAGAATAGATTGTCTGCATTCAGATCAATTGGATCAATTGCCGGAGGTAATTAGATTGTTGGATTAAATTATTAAATGACTTACACTGCTGAAAGAAACTAAAGAGAGACTAACAACATGTCCACTGGTGTATCTTATGGGCCTCAAGGTACGCGCCATGATGAGGACTAGACTCTTCTGACTCTTTACTGATAATGATGTCCAGTCCATTTTATAAATTCCATCCCCCATGGTTTCGCTCTGAAATACTAATGATTTCACCCATCCCAATTGTCATTATCTCATGATTAATCATTATACCCTGATCGTTACGTCATTGGCAGCATCACAAAATATGAATATCTGCACCAGCATGCAGCCGACGTACATCAGCAGAGAATTGAATTCTTTACTCAAGGGCTTCAGGTGCGTCAACGTAAAAACACTGACGCAGAGAACGAGAGAACTCGCACAATATTGAAGAAAAATTGAACCGGTGAATGTATCATTCGTAGCTCTTGAGAATCTAAACAGAAAATCGAGATCAAAACGACGAAATATCGAACAGATTTAAAGAATTCGTTGGAAATCTCAACAAGATCTTATTTCTCTATTAAACAAAAGTAATTGATACTTTATCAATTAATTCAACCGAATGGGACTAATAATTAATTTTGAGAAATCGGATAAATTACCGATTTTTAAAATACTCAACTCGTAAATAGCGAGGTGATGATTGGTGTGATTTCCCAAGTACTTGGTCTCCATTCTCTCAATTTCTTCAGGATTTCCCTTGGTGCCGGACCCAGAGCGTTCGTTCTCCATCAGATTTGGCATCATTACGAATCGGTACTTGAGTACTTCGAGCTGAGCTGAAGTGGCCAGCATGAGAGCTGAGACAAATGTATCGAAAGTCATGTTGACGACAGCCCCCATGTAATGACTGTAGAGCTGATGAATGTAGGAAATCCAGTAGCCAATTGATTCTGTGTCGTCGAAAGGATATCGTGCTTTGAAGAGTAATTGTCGACGAGGCATGTCCCGAATTAGGGAAAATAGTGTTATCACTGTGCAAGTAGCTGTTCCTAGTGTTCCATACACGGAAATGAAGCGCCTTGGATAAATTTATCATCATTCATTTCTCTATTCATGCGGCAAAAATTACCCAATGAAAATTGCATAAAGTAATTACAACAATAATTAATCGATAAGTCGAATAATCAAGAAGTGAATTTTTTCTTCTCAAGTGAATTGTTGACAATATTATTGTGTCCTTGTTAATAATTGTGACGAATGATAAAAAAAATTAAAGTTAAAGTTAAAGGAAGTCATTGGAAATGGAATTTTGTGGAAAATAAAATTACACAATTTTCAATAGATTGAAGATCCAACTCACTTGACAGAACGATGAAATTTCGATTTAATCATCACCTCGTTGTCATCTAGAGACTTGAATGGCTCGAGATCGAATAGCTCGACCATTCTCCTGATTTCGTATTGATAAATAGTCATGTTGAACATTTTTCCAGCAACAGCGATCATCGTAACGAGCATGAAAGAGGCGTTAGTCAGTTCTTTCGTGTCATGAAAGCAAGAGAGCAATGCAAAAAATTGGGATAAAACGAAGGTACACATGGCTGTAACAGCGAACGCATTGTAGATTCTGTATAAAATTAATTTCCAAGTTGAAGACTCTTCGGGGAACCAGAGCCCCAAGACTCTGAATGAGAGAATGTTGAGGGAGAAGAATGACATCGCTCGTTATAATTTTTTTATGTTTATCAAGTTTTATCCTCTCGACGTGGGGGTGAGGCTCTTGATGTTGATGACTCGCTCGTCTGTGGAAAATATCTAAATTGAAAAATAGCCAAGACCTGAGGAACATGGTGGGAGGATTTTTCGATAACTGACATTATCACAAGCTGTTGGTTCACACAAATTTATTCTTTCTTAGAATAATTCTCTGTTATCAAGAGGAAAAAGTATTTTCTTCGGGCTGAAGTCACTTGGTAATTCATGGGTTCTCTTATAAAATCGATAGAAAAGAGTTTATTCTTTCTTTTTATTCTAGATATATTCCTGAAATTGTCGTAATGTATGTAGAGTCTTCGTGACTAAAATTCTATGACAATTTCACTGAAGAGCGAAAGAATATCGATTTGTCGATGAAAAAACGCAGGTCGTCAGTCGCGAAGAAGTCAGGCGCCAGAATAGATCCGAAACTAATAAATTGTGATAAAAAATCATTTCCTTGATACTCCAAATAAATTTTTAAACAATTCACACATAACTTTTACAAAATAGAATTTTTTAGTATTTCCAATTTTTAATAAAAAAATCACGCGATAAATTATTCGAATTTTCCGAGTCGCTTCCAGAATCGAGAATTCTCCAATTATTCCAAAATATTTCTCTCGTCAAACGCAAAATCTGCAGTAGAATAAAATAGAAAGGAACCAGCGATTTTCCAAAATGATCATTCGAAATTCAAATTCGAACTTCCGGATGCGCAACTGCATTTTCTCTCTTTCCATAACCACAACAAAAGTCGCTCCTCCCACGTTGTGCCACAACAGCAGCCGAAACAACGTCGATCAGCTGATCGCTGTCGTGTCGTTTCTGGTTCTAAGTTGCGTCTCCCAAGCTCTCGAATATTCATTCAATAAAAGTCCTCAAACCCCTCCCAAAGTGCGTGGAATACCCAAGACCCAAATCCGAGTGAAAATTGAAAAGACAAAAAAAACCGCCCAAGTGCCAGAGCAGTTCCACCACTTGTTCTCCACCCAGTGCTAAACAGAAAAAAAAGGAAACAATGAAAAATCCTCAGAGAGAGGTGCTCTCCCCCTCGACTTAACTCCAAACACTCAAAATCTATTCCAATTTTCCCCAAATCGCTCTCACCATGAAAAAAGTGATGAAAACGTACTCTAACCCCATCAGCTGCATCCTCTCTCGTCAAATAGAGGACAGAGTGGATTTTTGCAAGCGTCTGGTTGACGAGAGGCTAGAGAAATCGAAAAATCTCTTCAGAAAGGATTTGCTGTCGCATTATGGATGCGTAAATGCCATCGAGTTCCTCAAAGATGGTGACATGATTGTTTCTGGTGGTGATGACAGACGAGTGCTCCTGTGGAAGGTCCAGCAGTCCCTACAGGGTGTCGGTCAACCAATGGCAATGAGAGCCCAACACGGGAGTAATATATTTTGTCTCGGTCACGACAGCAGCAATACAAAAATATTTTCAGCTGGTAATGATGATCAAGTTATCGTTCACGACATGAGAACTGGTGATCCAGTGGATTTTTTTCTACATGAGAAACCAGTCTATGGCCTGAGCATTCATCCCTTCAATGATCACGTATTCTCAAGTGCCTGCGATGATGGCCGAGTCCTGGTGTACGATATCAGGGAACCCAGTGGCAACGAGCCCTTCTGCTTGGCCCAGTATAAAACTCCATTTCACTCGGTGATGTTCAATCCCGTTGAGCCAAGAAAACTAGCCACTGCTAATGCCGAGGAGGGCGTCAGTTTGTGGGACGTCAGAAAACCCCTGGAGCCTGTTCTTCGTTATGGATTTGATGGATCAACTCAGAGCTGCATGAATGTCAGATTTAACTCGGCTGGAACGAAATTACTGGCATTAAAGAGAAGATTACCTCCTGTTTTATACGGCATTGATTCACCAGCAGTTCTCTGTCACTTTGATCAGCCAGGGTATTACAACAGCTGCACGATGAAATCGTGTTGCTTCGCAGGGAGGGACGAGTCCTATGTCCTTTCAGGCTCTGATGATTTCAATCTCTACGTTTGGAAAATTCCGAAGAACGATGTTACCTGGGTGGAATCTGCTCACATGATTCTACGTGGACACAGATCGATAGTCAATCACGTTCGATATAATCCCAGACACTGCATCCTCGCCTCATCTGGCGTTGAAAAAATAATCAAAGTGTGGAGTCCTTTTTCTCTTGGTAAGGGATGCATGGGAGGACTGAGACAATCGGATGGAAAACTCGAGAAGCAACGACGTGTATTCACCCACGAGGAGTATCTCCGTCTAGTTCTTCAGAGTGGTCAGATAATGACCCACGATTACAGTCATCAGTCCACAAAAGAAGACCCGAGGATGATGGCCTTCTTCGATTCCCTGGTCCAACGTGAAATCGAGAGTTTTGCCTCTGAGGACAATCCAACATCCCAGAGAAGTCCCAGTGACTCTGAGAATACTCCTTCGAATCAACGAAATCGTAATGGAACAGATTCTGATGGTAAATATTACAATTTTTACAACTGATTCAATTTAAAAGAATGAAAAAATCCTTATTTGCCCCCTAGATTCAACAGCATCGGACACACAGCTTATGAGGACTGTCCTGGGTGCAAAAACGTGCTCAAGAGACACTTCTAGTGGTGGAATGGCGCCAGAACGTGTTTTCGGTTCGCCAAATCGGATAACGAGACTAATACGAAGCTGTCGAGATCAACTGATGCGTTTGGCAGCTCTGGAGAACGAGGCAATAGCCTGCAGGACTGAGAATTCTCCCCAGAAGTGTAGGAATTCCTCGGAGGATCCCACAGACTCAGGGGGTGTCTCTCCCACACCCAAAACTACCCTGAAGCTGCGACTGAAGGGTGTGAAACGAAAACAGAATAGAATATCCACTCGAAGAAGTAAAATCCGTAGGAAATGCACAATCCTGAAAGCTCCGACTGATTCAGGGAGTGATTTGGAGTGTCTTCCAGGGCCAAATCGTCGGAAAAATGAGACTGAGGTGGTGGATACGACACAGCCCAGCACCAGCACTGGCTCCAGGGGAAGATGGCCAAGGACTGTGGCTGGAGACAGCGATCCTGGGGCTTCAAACGTCAGTAGCGATGAAATCAATGCGAGGAAGAGTCCTGGTGACAACAAACGTCCTGGTAGGTGCAAAAATTCAAGAGAACACCTGGTGAATGGTGCTGGGGACGATGTGACGCCTCTCAAAGGGACTCACACGACTCCAATGACTCCTGACAGTGGAATGCAGTCTGGAATTTCCACTGTTGAGAAAGCCAGGTGCAATGGGGGAAGCTCTGATGAGAGGAGTCTCCGGAATCTCGAGAGGTTCAGGAAGAGAGTGGATGTCGCCAGGAGAGGCTACAGGAGGAGAGCCAGACAAGAGGAGAGTGATTCTTCGGATTGAGGGAGTGATTTTCAATGATTATAGACTCCAGGTTCTTTCCAGGAAAATTCTGCAGTGGAATGACGTAAATTATCTAGTTTCTCGGAGATGTCTTTGAACATTTATTGAAGAAATTAAATAATTTACATCGTTTTGCCACTTCACTGCAGATTTATTCTCGGGAGTTTTAAGATTGAGGGGTGAAGAACGGGAAGAACTTCAACGAAATCCGAAGATTTTCGATAATACATTGTAAATAGCAACAACAATCGCTTTTTTCGATATTTTTTTTACTTCGTCAATTGATTTTGAGATTTATTAGTTCGGATTTTTCTAGGGGCGCCGCTCCACTACTGATTATTCGTTACAACTTCCATTACTTTTTTAATTGATTTTTTTTTCTCTCCCAGTAATTAAGTGCGTTCGATTGCCAATTAATGATTTATTGGGGTACGTGGATTGCCCCGATCGATGGAAAAATGATATATTTCAATTGAATTCGAAGACTCCTAGGTTAATCATTACGTTATCGTGTGAAAGAAAAATAAGTCTGAGACACTTGTGATTAGCTAAATTCGATAAAATACCCCAGCACCATGTATAGTAGTTATCATAGGCCAGATGAAGTGGCTCGTCTCCTGTGCATGCCTGATGCTCCATAATTCATCGATTTGTCAGACTTTGGATTGTTCGATGGCGATACATTATTTTTCTGATTACAGCTACTTGTTGATTAAGTGATTATATATTTATACGTCATTATGATTGAGTAATTGAATAAATAATTTCAAGACAACATCTCTCTCCTAATTATTTTTAAAAAATGCAGGCTTTGAGACTTTGCGTTGAATAAAAGGTGAACCTGTGGTTTTCTCTACCACATCCTTATCAATCCTCATGATTATTTCCACATCGAAACATTTCCTCGTACTCACAAAATTTTTTTTTCTACAGAGAATATAATATATCAATTCGTCTCTCGTAATTTCACTGTGCATCTGGGTAAAACGGGATTTCAATAAAAATGCGCAATTGTATTTTAAATACTGCAATTGTTTTATTAATTTTTTGTGATAAAATAGGGGCTTTCAATTTGAATACAAAAAATACAGTTGTCTTCAGTGATCCCAATCCAGGATCTCACAGCAGAGGAAGTTATTTTGGTTACGCTGTTGCTATTTATGGGAGCAATTCTGATCCTCTGGTGATCGTTGGTGCACCCAGGGCTAATGTCAGTAGATTATCAGGAATTAGAGAACCTGGTGCTGTTTATTGGTGTCGATTGAGTGGTCAATGCAGAGAGTGGCCAATTGACAATTCGAGAAATGGTGAACTGCATGGGATTCGAGGGATTAATCAGATGATCGATGGGTCTTGGATCGGTGCTACTATTTCTGTGGAAAATAAACCGCAGCCCAGAGTTGTGGTACGTAATAAACAATCTCACCACCTCAACTAATTATTCTTGTTTTCATTGAATTAATTGAGTTTTTGTATTTACTTCTCAATTATTATGCTGACGTGACTTTTTTTGTGGTGAAAAATATCTTTCATCGGCTCGTCTCTGCAGGTTTGTGCTCCTAGGTGGATAAATATCCGTTCTGGTAATCACAAATTAAACGGATTATGTTATTACACCGTTGCAATGTCTCCAAAAGCCTTCGAAGAGCCTGTACAAAAAATTCTCAATTTATTAACGAATAGAACAAACGAGAATGGTTGGAATCACAACGACGACTTCAGAGTAGCGACTATGGGATTTTCTCTTTACGAATTTGCTGAAGAATCCGTGTGGAATATTATGATTGGGGCTCCTGGGTGTTACGGCTGGTCAGGAACACCGATTTTGGTCACAGAGAAGTCGTCCGGAGAAATGATCGCAATGATACCTAGAACTAACAAATATTACTATACCAGCACCGGTAATTATTCTTCAAATTGATATCCATGGAAATTTTAGGATCGACAGACTGATGGCATTGATTCTAGGATACGGCGTGACATCCGGATTTTATTTCGATAACGAAACTCGATGGTACGTCGCTTCGTCCCCTCAGGTCGATGATAACATGGGAACAATCCAATTTTTTCACTATAATGGGGATAATCCTGTGGTAATCGGTCGAAAAATTGAAGGTGCACAGTATGAAGAGTATTTCGGGGCATCAGTCACTTCCTGCGATGTTGATAACGACGGGAGAGATGACCTGATAGTTGGAGCTCCATCGTGGAGCGATAATGGAGATGAGGGACGGATTTATATTATTTCAGCAAGGAGAAATGTAAATGTAACTCTATTTTTATTGGCATGAGATTCTATTGGAAGTGGTGCGCTTTGATGATGTTTAATCCATTGAATTCGAGTTGAATAATTTGTTTTAATGGCTCAGGTGTTTGAGAGGAATTGGATCGATGGTAAATTCGAGGGAGCTCGATTCGGATCGAGTGTTGTATGTCTAGGAGACCTGGATCGCGATGGCTATGGAGATGTTGCTGTTGGTGCACCGTACGAAGATAAATCGGGTGCTGTTTATATTTTCAATGGTGGTCGTTACGGTTTATCTCAAGTGCCAAGTCAAAAAATCCTTGGCAAGGATTTTGGGAGGCTGAGTGGCTTTGGTCTCAGCATATCTGAACCCAGGGATATCGATGGCAATGGCTACCCTGATGTTGCTGTTGGAGCTTACAGATCAGGACACGCTGTCCTCTTTCGAGCTCAACCAGTCATTAAAGTGAATATTAGTTTGAGTCCTGTCGACTCCATGAGGCTCAACAGTGATACTACCCTATTTTCTGTTAAATTCTGTGGATATTACGACGGATATAGGGTACCGGAGACTCTTAGTAAGTTGATTAAAAATTTTCTACACCCGCATCTCGTTATTTCAGTTACTTTCCACTATTTTTATCTCAGGAGTGATGAAGATTTTTAGAATTGACGAAACTCATAATCGAGCGAGTCTTCACATAAATCCCACTAGCAATGGAACTTATGAGCTCCCAGGAATTTTCGTTCGTGAAAAAGATACATGTGAACCTATTATCGTACATTTGAAGGTGAGACCAATTATTTGGTATTGAATATCATCTCTTGAGTCTTGTAATCCTATCCGCAATCTAGAATGGAACCAAAACGTATCCCATCGTCATCGCCGCAGCCTTGAGGCTTATGAATGAAAATACGTCAATCAAAAAGGAAATATCAACGATCGAGAGTAAAATCTCCCTCAATTTCAAACTCGACTGTGGCCCCGACGATATTTGCCACTCAAATTTAACAACGAGAATCTCAACATCACTTGGAGAAGAAAATAAATACACCGTTGGGGGTGAAGACACTATAAATATTTCAATCCAAGTGGAAAATAATCAGGAACCTGCGTACGATACTCAACTCCATATTTTTTTACCGGAAATTCTTCCTCTGACTAGTCTGCCCATCGATTGTCAAGAGAATCCAACGAAGAATGGAACTGTTGAAGTCATTTGGAGCATCGAAAATCCATTGCGACATCGAGTAATTTAATAAAATAAAATCAACTTTGTTTATTGAAATAGATTAGATCGATTTTTTTAATGGTTTCAGGCGACTTTAAAACTCGAAATATCAATGCGTCAGGTTGAAATTGAGTCAGAGGATGATTCAAATCCCCTGATGATAGCCATTAGTCTCATAACGCAAAGTCGAAATGTCAACGACAAAAAAGGAATTGATAGTGTGATTATCAATCTTGTGGTGGATGCCACAGTCGCTGTGACTGGGTGGGAAATGATTTTTTTTATCAGAATTCGTGTTAATGAATGAAATAATAATTGAAGTAAAATTGCAGGCAAGCGAAGGACACGTCTTACTCCTACTTCAGTACCTCAGAGGAGAAGAAAATCGGGACAATTCAGTTTGATCATATTTATGGAGTTCAAAAATTGGGAATAACTCCGATTCAACAGGCGATTTTGATTGTCCTCGTTCCCACGCACTTGAGAAAATCGAAAAATGAAATAGTCGAGATAGCGAGGATAAACGCAACGACTGTGAAATTCTTTGATTCAATTAATCG